GTAAGATGAAGACCAGAAAGTGCCTATTAGATTCAGCAACTGGAAGATCATGGGCAATTGATCTAGGGGTTTGGGTGAGTAATGGGAGGAGACGTTGGATTAGAGTGAGCTGAAGAGAGAGAAAGGTGGTCATGGGGGAGGGGCATGAATGCAGATGACTGTTCTAAAAGCTTGGCTCTGAAAGAGAGAGGAAAAGGGGCTGCCGACATGCTTGCTCTTGCTTTGGGAGGTATTTTAAGGTTGGTGAGGCTTAGACGTATTTAAATGGTGATGGAAAGAACCCAGAAGAAAGGGGTGGGGTGGTCATTGGGAGTGTTCACTGAGGAGTGAGCACAGGCTGCGGGTCTGGCTCCACCACTGTCTGGTTGAACTTGAACTTGAGTGCGCCGCCTAATCTGGACTACAGCATCCTTACCTGTAAGTGGTAGGGTTTCTCTGTGTCTGTGGTTTTCAAACTGCACCCGTTGAAGCTGTCTCAGCGCACTCATGTTTCAGCTTCAACCACAGCAACTTGACCTCCCATGTGTTTTTTTTAAACAATTGTTTTTAAACAATTTTTATTTTCGCCATTTAATGCATGTACATACCTTGGAAAAGCCACATGGTAGTAAAAGAATTAGCATTTAAAAAAACAGTAATTCCTGCTCCACACCTGCTCACTCTCGACCACTCCCAGTTCTTGTGGGTATTTATTTCCTTTGGTGTTTCTGCCCATTTACCTAAATTAACCTCTCATCACCGTGTTTCATAAATGTAAACATACATTGGTTTCTGCTCCACCCATCCTCACTTGGCTTGACTCTGTTCCCTCCAACCTAAAGCCACCCGTTTCTGGTTGATCGTGTTTATTATAAGCATGCCGATGTCACCACTTACTTGCTCTCCCCTGTTGAGGACAGCCTGCGTTTCCCCTGCCAGCAGCATTCGCCTCTTTTGTCTCATTTACCTTGATTTCCATTCGTGATTGCAGCTTTTCCTGAAATGTTCCACCGTCTCAAAAACCTGTCAGCACTTTCCCTGTGCTTGCTCAGTCACGAGACTCCTCCCCCAGCCCTCCGTGGCTCCCTGGTCACTGTCCCATCCCGGGATGCTCTGCATCCTCGCCTGTGGTGGAGCCCTGTGCCCTGCTGTTGTGGTTTCCTCTTCCTCGGTTTCCGCCCTGGTTTCTGTGCAGCCGATCCTCCAGGGGCTTGGAGACAATGTCTCCAGTTCTGCCTGACTGAGGGTATCTTTATTTTGCCCTCATATCCCATTGATGGTTGGCTGGTTTTAGAATTCTGGCTTGAAAAAATTTTTCCTTGCAAACTTTAGTAGAAGCCGTTATTGTCTGGCTTCCATTTTTGTTGTTGAGAGCGCTGATGCTACTGTGATGCCCTGTCCTTTGACCAATTCTGTTTCGTTTCTCTCTGGAGCCTGTAAGTCCTATCTTTATCCTTTTACTCGTGGTTCTTTATTTCATTTTCCTTGGTACTTGATGGGCCCTTGCGTTGTGAAGACTCATCCTGTGATTCTAAATTCCGTAATTCTAAAAACTCTCTTGAATCATTTATTTTAGAATATACTCCACTTCATGTTTCCCAGCGTTCTCTTTCTGTTGTTTCTTTTAGGTTAATATTGGACCTTACGTGTTCTTCAATAAAAAAGGAAGAGTGAAAAAATAAAGAACTCTCTCTTTATATTAAAAATATATATTGGACCTTCTGGCTTGACCTCATTTTATCTTTTCTTTCCTTCTCTCTCTCTCTTGCTCTCACTCTTTCCACCTCGAGATTGTCTTGACTTTATCTTCTAATTCTTCTATTAATTCTTTTAATTTGGCTATTCTCTATTTAATTTGCAAGATTATTTCCATCTTTATAGCCATTCATCCTTGTGTCGTGGATGCAATTTCTTCTCTTTTCTCTCTAAGGCTGTTATCTCTCCCACAACCCCAACTGGGTGAACCCTACCTAGCCTTCAAGGTCCAACTCAAAATCCTATTATGAGACCTTCTCCAATCGGTCTGGCTCTCTCCACTAGATTAGAATTCCGTAGCATTATTACATTCCACACCATCTAATAGGTAACTTCATTGAAACCTGCATTGCTTCCTAGTGAGGAATCATCCTGTCTCCCCAGCTGTACCATAATCTCTTCAAGAGGAGGGACTGTTTACTTGGTCTGTATCTGCTCCAGTGCCTTGTCTAGAATTGTGACTGTAACAAGTGGTAAGTAGGTTCTTGTTGATTTTAAATAAATGACAAGCCATCCTAATCCCACCAAGCCAGGCTCACCCCAGTCAGTTTATTTAAAGGCATCAAAATCATAGGTATTTGATAAATAATATGAGTGTAGAACTTGGAAGGTTTGATAGTTCTCCCTCCCTTGCACAGTGTTTCATTTGCACCTAATTCAGCAGCAGTAGTTCAGTGACTTGCTTTCATTAAGTCTTCCTTGAAACTCTCAACTTAGATTTCATAGGCAAAGCGCAACTTTCTTTTCTCACTTATATTTCATTGGTTTAGGAAATATTTAATTGAATTACACTCTTAAAACAACCAAGAGCAATTGACATAAGCAGGATTGGAAGCAGACACATTGAAATCTTGGCCAACACGTGATTCAGTCAGTAGGGCGGGGGCGTGTTGAACAGCAACCTGCCGGCCTCAGAACTTTACTCCGCCAGGAGTGAAGGGCACTGGACTGTCAAGTCAGCCAAGTGGAATTCAGTCAAGAGATATCTACCATGCTCTGTTCCTGGTGTACCAAGAAGAAGTCTTTGGCAGAAATGGATTTGTGCTCATCATGCCTCTCACGTGCCCTTGTCATCAAGGGCATGCGCGGGCCAGGTACCCAAGCCAGCTGATGTGGATTAGCACACAGTCTTTGGTCTTAAAACCACACTAGGCTCACTGGCACTGGGGCCAATCATCTTGGTCTCATTAGATCCAAAATCTACCCACCTGGTCTGTAATTCTCTGACCCTGGGTCCTCAAAGGGTCCTAGAGATGGATCCCCACTCACCTCCCACTTAAGTCAGCAGTTTGGGCCGTCACCACACAGCCACATCTGCACACCTCCTGTTCCCCACCACTTCAACAACCAGCACACTTTGGATGAATCAAATATAGATTCTCAAAGAGGAAGTGAGGGGTCCAGCTGACTTTGTGTGGCCCCTGTCACAACATGAATCATTTTTTTATAATAGAGGGAACTTGGAAGTCCTCCCTGTGTTACGTTTCCATAAAAAGGACAACCTCTAAGTTTAGTTAAAATAGATTGACATTAACGACAGGAAAGAATGTTTATATTTCCTATTGATTGTACTCAGGCAACTGGCATCACTTTGTAGCCACCACAGTCACAGCCATGAATGAAGACGCCCCTGGCCACCGTCCCCAAGGGAAAGAAGACTGTTCTCTGAATCGGGGCTTGAGAAAACCCCGTGGAAAACGCAGCCGAAGTACTGTGTGAAAATTGCATTGCAAACAGAAATATCAACCTGCAGTCAGAAGAAAGCTCCGTGCATGTAAAGTCAAAATGGAATCAATCCAGTTGAATTGGTTTCATGGTAAAGTTAGTGATTTGAATGCTTCACCTGTTGCTAGTTTAGAAGCAACATTAAGACACTGAGTTCAGTGAAAGGCGATGAGTGTTCTTCTATGGGTAACCCACAGTTGGGTAATGAACAAAGGCAGAGTTCATTTTAAATTGATGGAAAGAACAAACAAAATTAAATTTAAAATCACATCGTTGGGGAGTGGGTAGAGCTTAGTGGTAGAGCGTGTGCACGAGGTCCTGGGTTCAGTCCCCAGTACCGCCATTAAATAAATAAACAAATACAAAAGTAAATGCATAAATAAACCTAATTACCCCCAATAAAGTAAAATCAAATCATGTCAAATCCCCTTTGACTCCTGTTCTCCATTTTCCCCTTTGCTGCTGCATTTTAATGCTACGAGGCATAGGCTGCAGCTGCTCCCCACGCTAGTGTGTTTGGCTCAGTCTAGTTCCATTTTTTTCTCTCTGACTCCGTCCTCACACGCTGGTACATTGGCCACACCAGGCCCTGCCGTGAGGCTGCACGGTGATGGCTGTGGGGGCAGCGTGTGCTCACCAGTCCAGCTCCTTGGCCTGGCTCTTGGGGCGCAGCAGAACGATGCTCTCTGCTCACCGCTCCCTGGGGCCGCTGCAGCTGTGTGTGGAGCCAACCCCTCTCCATGCTCTCTCTGCCTTCTCTGTCCCACAGCCTCCTCTCCCATCTTCTTCTGCCTGGGGAAACCTGCCTTTATTTTTCTTAAGTAGTCTGTCAAATAGCAATGCTCCTTCCCCTAGAATCTAGAACAGAGGCGTTGGGAAACGTTCTTCTGCAGGTGTCTCCTCATCGCCTTCTCTCTTAAGATGCTAAGCTCTTGGATCTGCTCACTCCTCCTGTGCTGGCGCCTCAGACAGCCTGGAGGCAGGACCTGCCACACGGTGAAATGGCCAACTCTAAAGTGGCCTCATGGAGGAAATGTGTAGATCGCTAACACCACGTATATCATAGCCCAGACGTATTCCATGTAGCCAGGAAATGACTGGCGCTGTCTGACCACACAGACAATTCCACTTGGGGGCAAATTTTAAAAAAAACATATTTCAGTGATTCCTCTTCAAGTATTCAGTCTCCTGAGAAGAAAAGGTCTGATGAGTCCCTTCTCTTTCTAACCCTTAGTCATGGGACTGGGCCTCCTTCCGTCAGACAGTCCCACTAGAACCATCAATTCCAGCCCCAACAGAACAGAAGGAAGAACCCGTGGCAGCAGATCCTTGGGCAACCCTTGGTTCAATGGACTAAAGCAGTCGATTGAGAAGCTTGAATAGAAAGATGTTTATTAAAAATAAGAAGAAATAAAAAGGCTCTCCACCCCTCCCTCTATCTGCTAAAAAGTAAATAAATAAACTGGGTATAGGGGGAAAAATATACATGGTCTGTCTCAGCCCGAGAATATAATAACACTGCCTCTCTTTCCTTGTTTTAGGGAATGCTGTCGATTGTTTGGAGACAATGGCTTGACTTTGAAGGTGTTTGTTACCAAGGCAGCACCCTTTGGTGTTCTTTGGACACTCACCAACTACCTGTACTTACATGCAATAAAGACAATAAACACCACGGACGCCTCCGTGTTGTTCTGCTGCAACAGAGCTTTTGTGTTCTTGCTCTCATGGATTGTTCTCAGGGACAGGTTCATGGGCGTGAGGGTAAGTTCCTTCTTCTCTGTCTTCCTCCCTCACTCGGTCGTGCCACCCAAAACCTGCCCATCGGCTTGCTTAGCTCCATGTGCTGGACCGTAAGCCTAAGCTGCTGGCCACTTTCCTTCCGATTCGCAGCAGGAAAGGAGCCAGTTGGAGGGCCGGGTGCTCCGTGTGCCTTGCAACCTTCTTGCTTGCAAACCATCCTAGACAAGCCTTCATTAAAGCGCCTTTCATTTCAAGCATTTTCAGCAAGCATTCTCTAAAGCGTGTGCCGGTCGGGGACCCATGTGACAGGAGTGACGGGCTCACCCCGTCTCTCCAGGCAGCGAGCGGAGCCCTGCCACCTGAGCTCTCCGCGTAGGCTGTATCCGAAAGCCAAAGGTCGTTCCGCATCCACACGAACGTGCAGCCCTGGGGGGACCTTTGTCTGGACCGTGTGTACAATGCCAAGGCGGGCCAGACCCACTCGGGCTGAGTTCAAACTGGAGGGACCGTTTCACCCCCTTCACACCCCAGACGAAGGGAGAATGAAGTGATATCCCTTGAAATCCCTCTGGTTATTCCATCGGAGTCCGGGTCAGTTCCATGAAAACCAAGTCAAATTTAGCTAGTCAAGTTTCATAACAGTTGTATGAAACACGATAAATGCACTGTCAGATTTCACCCTGAGTGAAAGGAACAGGTGACGTTCAGCCTTGAGGGTCCTGGCGGCTCCTGCTTGTCGCCCTCTGGTGGCCAGGAGCTGCTACTGCCCCATCGCTGCACCCTCAGACCACGGAGGCCGGCCGCGAAGCTGAGTCCCTCTGATGGGCAGCCTCATTAGAGGGAACCGTGCTGGCATCCAGCAAGGTGCAGACTCCAGGCCCTCTACTGTGTCCTTTGCTCACTGGCCTGGGAACAATGCCATCCCCTTAATGGTGGCTTCGCACCCACCTGGTTACTCAAACAGCAGTGGGGACATGAGTCAACCGCCGAGGCGTATTTTTAGCTTGCAGTAGGGGGAAAATTTGTTTTGAAGCTTAGTGTTAATTTTGGAATAAGATCTCAGCTCACTGTCCTACCACCCAGAAAAGCTTTGAGCAAATAACCCGTCTAATATATCCCCGCAAGAAATGAGCTGCGTCCAGCAGCAATCTGCCCAGCAGCCTGCCTGCCTGGACGCTGAAGACTTGCATGTCCCGGGGCCCCTGGTGGCTTCATTTTGATGCAGAGAGCCAGGAGAATTCATGGTGCTTTGGGGGCATGATTCTGATGTCCAAAGCAAATTCCTAATCACACCCTGTCTTCCAAATGGGAAGAGACGCTTCGAGGTTAATCCTGCATCTAAGCAGAAGCAAATGAAGTTGTTGAGGATAAGAAAAGGTGTGACAATACTGAGGCCTCTCAGACTCACAGAGAACAGCGCAGCTCTCCCAGAGCTTTTCCTTGTCGCTATTCGTGGGTAAGAGGGTCTCCTCCTAACATCCCTGAGCCGTGATTCAGTCTAGCCATCCTGGCTACCTGACCAGCGTGGTCTGCGCTAACCATTCTAGACTGAACCGAGTGTCTTGTTGAAGCCTTCAGCGCTAGACCAGCATGGAAACGAAGGTCCAAGGAGCCGGTGTTGGTGGTGGAATTTCGTAACGTGTAAGCCTCGCGCAGCTGTGGGTCCTTCTGATAATCATCGCTTCTCTTAGAAGTAAGTGACCTGTCATCTAAGACGGTCCCACTCCAAGTCAAGGAGGAGCACCTGCTTCTCATCTGCAAGAGTTCACAGAGCTAGCAATGCCTGTAAGGCGCCAGCATCTGGCCAGAGTGACTGAAAGGTCCCCCTTGGTAAACAGATGGAGATTTGAGCCCAAGATAAGATCTAACTAGCACACGGGTTCTCTCAGGCATCTCTCAAACTCCTGGGTTAGCGAGCACCTTCCACAGGGTAGTTTCTGGAAACTGAAAGGGCTTGACAACTGTTCTGCATCCCGGAGGGCTGAGCAGACCAGCCTGCGAGTCACACAGACACAGAGAACGTGATGGAGGCTCAGCACTACGTTTGTGAAACAGATGACACTGAGGCCCCCATGTCATTAAGGCAGTGACTCCAATCACAAGGACTGTGGTTCCTGGGAAACACCAATGGGTCCACGTCATGTGGACAGACCAGAAAGAAGCAAATGTTTACCTTCGAATGTGCCGGAGAGATCACGGCCACTTAGGGCATCAGAGGCAGCTGTTTGAGAGGCGCTCAGGCTGGCCCCCGTGTCACCCTTTGACGCCGAGCTTAGATGTGCTTTTTATATGTTTCCTGGATCTCCGGGCTCAGGGATTATAAAGCAACAGGGAGGTGCTCTAGCCTAGAGTCAAGTGACAAAGATTTGGATCCACTCTCATAAGCTGTTGGCCCTTGAGCAAGTTCCTTAACATCTCTGAGCCTTAATTATCTCATTTTAAAACAGAATGTTGGTATTCATCTTATTGAACAGTTGTGAGAATAAAATAAGGTGATGCCTGCCTGGCACATAAAACCCCATAAATGTTCTCTTTTCTTGGTGTCATTAATTTCATATTCTTTCTCAATTCGAGGGGTTTGGTGGATCAGCCCAAATCTGTTGACAGTGTCAGCAGCTGACAGATGTTTAGGGAGGCCGTTCTGTGCAGCAGAAGCAGCAGTAGACTGAGAGCAAGCCAAATTTGAGGTGGGGGAGGGATGGCCCTTCCTAAGCCAAAGCCCGCCCAGTTGGGGTCAGCAGTGGATAAAGAAAGGACTGGCTGGCCACGCCACCCCCAGCCCACGTCCCAGAGGAGACAAGACGGAGGACAGGCTTCTCAGCTGGTCAGAACCACCCGCTACAACTAGGACGCTCCAACCTAGAGGGACGGGCGAGGGAGCGAGAAGGCAGAGCTGGGAGAGCATCCTAGTTGTCCTCAAACCCCAGCAGCATGTGCCTGGGGAGCCCGAACTTTTTCTGAGAGCAGTGCCCACCTCAGCTGGATTCCAGCTGGCGTTTTCAGTCACTGCACGCTTGCAGCCTTTCAGAGGGGGCCATCCCTGACCAGGCCCAAGCAGGGCCTGGCGCTTCTCTAGGGAGTGGTGGTCACCTGACCATTGAACCGTGACTCCAACTTCTGTTCGGGAGGCCGTCCCCTTGCCCCTGGGGCGAGCACAGAGCATGGGGTGGGGTGCGGGAGGGCAAGGGCGCTCACAGCCCAGCCCCCTTTCCAGCCTCAGAAATCAGAGGGATGAACAAGAAGATCTCAAAATACGTCCAGACTCTTAGTGTTGAAGAGAGCCGTCTAGGAGTCGAGAGGGAACGTGTTGGAAGAAGGATGTCAAAACGTTAGCCTGTTCTTTCCCTTTCTTAAACTGCCCCAAATTGCACAAATCTCAACTGCCTCGCAAGTGGGGCTCTGCTGAGCAGAGGACGGGCAGCCGTCACACACTGGAGCAGGAGCAGGAGCGGTGCTGGTCAGACGTCACTGAGGGCTGCGTCCACCTGCCTCCTTCCCTGGTGCCCCTTCCCTCCCGGCCTGACGTCTGATGGGAGCAGTGTGCCTTGGTGCCCCAGCGCCCATGCTCTTGTTCCTCTCTCTTCTTCAGCTGATTTTCCCCAGCCAGAGTAGAGAGGCGGCTCTCATCCCTCTTGGTCTCAGGCCCCTGTGACTGGGTGCTCAAGTCCTCGTTCAGTGGGATAAGCTTGGGGCGTGGTGCATAGACAGGAATGTGTGAGAAAGGAGGGAGGGCCGCGGGGAGGTAGGGACGGTCACTTGTCCTGATTCCATCTGGGACGCGGCGTTCTTCCCGGGGGAAGCCCAGATGGAGATGAGGGCCACGGGAGGCCGCAGCTCCGGTCTGTCTTCTTGGACGGTTCATCTTAGTGCAGGAAACAGGCAGGGAGACATTTCCAAATGTAAACCAAGAAAGCCAGACACGGCACGCTGTAAAATGGAAATGCGCACCTGCTTTTTAAAGAGAGGACTGGCATCTTCAAAGGCATTTCAGGCTCGGGGAAGGGCTCTGAGCTCTGCTCCCTAGACCTGTAGGGAATGTTTCCACCCTGCTTTGCTGGTAGGGGTGTCAGAAATGGGGTGAGCCACCAGCTTCCTCTCCAGCACGCTGGTCAGGCCCCAGGCTCAGGGCTGGGGGTCCCAGCTGGGCCACTGATGCCCGGAGAGTGTGCCCCATAGCCCGGGCTCTCAATCCTGTGACCTGTGGCTGGGAGCCCCAAGAGGACAAGACCTGGACGCATGAACGGGGGTGGGTGTCACTGTCCCCCAGTGCCACCTGTCAGAATGAACCCACTTGCCTGGGCTTCTCAAATGTTGGCCGGAAGGCCGGCGACCACCCACACACTCTGTTTCTCGCCCTTTCCCTCAGCTCTCCTGCACAGCACCGCTCAGGTGGAAGCTTTTAGCTGTTTTATTATTTAATCAATAGAGAAGAGAGGAGAAGAGGTCAGAAATCTGCCTTATAAAACCTTCAGGAAAAAATAACCACCCTGTTCTCCTTCACTTCCCCAAACATCATCTTCCAGGTTGGAAAGACTCACGTATCTTTGGAGATGCGACACATCGTCCGATTCGTAGCTGTTTCTTCCCCTCTCCCTCCCCTCCCTTCTTTTTCTCATCAGTCCTCTTTACCGGGCTGCCAAGCCGGGCAGAACTGTTCCACGCGGCATCTTTGCATGGTGCGTCCTCTGGAGCAGAAACCACACCCCTTTCCGTCTGCCTTTTCACCTGCCTTTTGCTCTCCTGGAGGGGAAAGTTGCTTCTTGCCTTGCTACCTCCGTTTCTTTCTCTTAATGAGTGGTACGCAGTGTACGTAGCTGCGGATATGAAGTATGTGCTTTGTGTGATGCAGAATGAGGCAGCTGGACGGAGCTGGGCCTGGCGCTTCTCTGGGGAGTGGTGATCACCTGCTCTCTCAGGGCCTCTGTCGGGTAGGGAGACAGGTCGTTATATGCGGACACTGCAACTTGAACTGCCGAGGTGCAACCGAATCACCTTCACTAACCTAAACGTGGTGTGTCTTGACTGGGCAGGGAACTCAGATCTCAGAGTAGGTTGCAGGTGGCTTACTTTGTGAATTGTACTTTCCCATTTGTGTACATGAACATGGACTTTGCAAGTGGACAGACCTGAAATGTGTGTCCCTGCTCTGCCACACCCCGGCTCTGTGAGTTTGGGCCTCTCTGATCCTGTTTGCATGTCTATAAAATGAAATGAATGATGCTATCTATCTACCTGTTTTGATGATTAAATGAGAAAATACACAGCAAACCCTTATCCCATGACCGCTCAGTAAACGCCAGCTACTTGATATTGTTAGAGATGGTGGAGGTCAATTCTGAATAATCCACTGAGAGGACTAAAACTCCCAGTAAATCCAGTGGCCGAAACTTGTGTCGCACATGTTTGTTCCTTCCTCCCCGTGTTCTGGCTGCGGCAGCCTCTGCTCTCGCCCACCCAGCGACGTTCACGTAGCACCACGACCAGCTCAGGTTAGAACTGGGGCTTATTCTTGCTACTGATGCATTTCTCCTTTGGGAAATGTTATCCGAAGTTAGTTTATCCCTCGTGCACTCCGACAGTTGACTTTGTGCAGGGGAAGGTGTGCATCTCTCCGGAGTGTCCGTGCCGCCTGAGAAGTCTGCATGTGGACGGGAACAGGATTAAGAGGGGCCGTGGGGGTTGGGCCTGGCGGCGGCCAAGAAAAGGATCTGCCCCTCCATCCAGGGTTGGGACACTGGAGCCCCGGCTGGGGTGACACACGCTCTCCCAGAAGATGCTCCTGCCGCATCTTCTACTGTAAAACGGAGGCCAAGATTGGTGGTCGTCACCACGCCCTCTCTGTTGAGATGTGAAGTACATAGAAGGAGGCCACATGAGCGTTCGGAAGGCTGGGAAGGAACTAAGAGGTGGTTTCCAGGTATTGACCATGAGGCCCTGTCACGACCAAATCGCCTGTCGTTGGGATTCTGAGCATCGCCTCTCAAGCTCCCAGGACTCACGGTGGCTGGCTGGGCACACCCTTGCTGCCAGCCGTTTCAGGGTCTTTGGCCATGCCAGGCTGTGCTGAGGGCCCCCTTCAAGCAGATGTTAGACGGGAGAGCAGCCTTTGCTTGGTCTCCAAAGAAGGGCTGAAAAGGAGCACCTCCGCCTGCTCCCATTAGGGCCCTCTCGTCAGCCCTCGGGGTCCCTCCGATTCCCGCCGCTGCCCTGACCACCATGTCTTCCTTCCTCCAGATCGTGGCCGCCATCCTTGCCATCGCTGGCATCGTGATGATGACCTACGCGGACGGCTTCCACAGCCACTCCGTCATCGGCATAGCCCTGGTGGTGGGCTCCGCATCCATGTCTGCCCTGTACAAGGTAGGCCCCCAGGCCCTCCGGGGGGGTGGCCGCAGGCCTCGGCACGGCCAGCCCGTTGCCCCAGGGGTCTCTGATGGTGCCTGTGCGTTAAGACAAGCAGTCGTTTTCAAGGTGTGCTGGGCACACCGAGCCGCGGTGCTGAGACACGCAGCAGCTCTGGGCTCTTGCCCTTTGGATCTTTCCATTGGTGGCCGCACATTTGCGGCATTTGAGATAAAACAGGTGAACAGTGGATCGGCCGAGTCGGATTGGTGACTCCGTGGTTCAGCAAAGACTGGAGAAGGATCAGGGGCCCTAACTGGCAGGCTCAGTGTCTGGTCAGATAATTTCCCACCTGAAAATTTGAAAACCTGCTACAGCTCTGTCACTGAAATCTTTTATCACGTGGTATTTGCAGCCACCAGGACCCAGCATGAATCTATATGCATTTCAAGCCTTGCCCATAGGCTGGATAAATAAAAGCATAACTGTTATAATGTGGAAATTATAAAATATCTTTGACAAAATGTTGGAGACTGTTGGAAGGCATGTGCCAATGGTAGGTCTAGATGAAACCATGTTTATCTGACCCCTATCCCTCACTGTCTTCCCAGCCCCATCCTGCTTCCTGGCCCCTCTCCCCTCATTCCCCACCTCATTGGATCCATAGTAAAGAATGCAAATATTTTCTGGTCTCCAGGTTGGGAAATTGAGCTGAAGGATTCAATGAGAAATGAGATTTTAGCTTTGAGACATATTGGCTCTTTGTGGATCCAAACAGTAGGACAGAGAAAATCAAAGACTGTAGGAAGTTCTAAGAAAAGGAATTTTTTCCAGCACTGTGAGGACACACTGGATGCTTCTGGAAAGTGACATATCTGTGCCTTCTTCCCCTGTGTCAGCTCCTGGCCCTCACTGACCACCCCCCCACCGAGACACATAGATCATCTTCCTTCTCTGGAACACATCTCCCTGAGGATGTGAGAGTCTAGCACCATTCTGGGACTTCAAAGCCACTGTCCAAATACAGAGAATATTAAAAAGCTGCACTCTGCTGTCCTCGGTTAACTGCGTGCTCACAGGAAGCGGAGAGTGTAGAAACGCAGTCCTGATGAACACAAATATCCGACTTAGACCCCCATTTCCATCTCCTCCCCTGCCTGACCTTTATCCAGAGAGGCCGGAAGACTGAAAGCAATTTACCGTATTTCCCTTTCCATGCTTCCTGCACATGTGCCCGGAAATACCCGAGAGAGATGTGAGAGGCTGGAAAAGGAAGGAGGAGGAGAGTAGGAGGGACCACATTGCAGAGACACAGGTTGGATCCTCAGTTCCCTAACCGTGACCAGTTCAGTAAACACGTGGGCTGGGCTGGGGCCTCTGCCTCTGCGAAGTCAGCTTCCCAGCCACTCCAGGCACACATGTCCCTCTCCCACTTCTCATACATCTGAAATATGTATAAACAAGAACAGGGGTGAGAAATCCAAGTTGGGTGTGTTCCCTCCAAACCCGTGTCCCTTCTGGAATGGGGGTGGGGGGATGGAGCGGGGATGAGCTGAGTGCTATAATCCTGCCTCCTTTGAGGCAACGTCTTTGCAGCCAAAGCCCTTTCTCTTGGGGGCACTGGTTTTCAAACTGTGTTGTTCAAGGTCAGAAGTCACTTGTAGGGGTCCCTGAGAGGAGTGTGTGATCATGGCAGTTACTTCTAATTTATGTGGCTTCCTCATCTTCGGTGCTCTGAAGCTGGGATACAGTGTCATAAATACAGCACAGAGAATCACATCTAGTGTGAAAACCCAGGATTCCTGAAGATGCTTTCTGTACTCAGAGTAACCCTCCAGCATGATGTTACTGAGATTAGGTTAAATCCCACCGCCCTTCACGGAAAGCCACGCAAAGTAGAGTTTACCTGTCACGTGGTTGTCTGTCCTGTGGTCCAGCTGCAGCCTTCAGGGCGCTCGCTCCAGGAGGCAAGCTGGAGGCATGACACCTCGTCCTCCGCTCTCCCCCGCAGGTCCTGTTCAAGCTCCTCCTGGGCAGTGCCAAGTTTGGAGAAGCCGCCTTATTTCTGTCTGTGCTGGGGGTATTTAACGTCCTCTTCATCACCTGTATTCCTGTCATCCTCTACTTTACCAAAGTGGAATACTGGAGCTCTTTCGACGCCATTCCATGGGGAAACCTTTGCGGATTTTCAGTCCTCTTATTGAGTAAGTGGTGAGCACCCTGTTGGGATTCCCAGAAAGTGATGATGGAGCAGGATCTGTGCAGCTCAGGAGAGTCTTTGGAAACCCGTGCCCTGAAGGAGGAAAAACAGTCCACGTTATCCTTCAGTTCCTGGTGGTTTTCAAGGTCACTGGTCCTGCAAAGGCAAGCCTTGGTGATGACGACATTGGGTTTAATTCCAGGACCACAGTCACTGCAGCAGGAGCCGTGGTCATTGCTGCCCCGTAGCCCAGTGAGCTGTGTGTTTTCTGCTGACAATAGTACATTCCTTATAGGGCTGGTAAGAAGCTGGCGAACTAATACAGGCAGCGCTCTTAGAACATTGCCTGATAAATGCCGATGTTCAGCAAATATTATCAGTTGTCACTGTTATCATCATTACTTGGTCATTGTCACCATCATCACCAGAAGAGCAACCAAGGAAGTGCCTCACCCCATTTCCGTTTAAAAATGCGTATCCCAAAGCTCCTGTTCGTAGTCATCTCAGAATTGCTGCCAGCAACAGGGAAGGGCACAGGTAGTAGGACGCGCCAGTCCTCTTTCCCGGTGCCTTCTCACTGGCTACCTTTGTCAGATTTCTCTTCCCTTGTTCAAGCTCAGGGAAGAGAGGAGATCTGGGTAGTCAGGACATTTGTCCCTAATCGCCCAGTCCCAGAGCCCTTCCAGGAACCCCAAGTTCACTGATTCAGAGCGAAGGGCAAGATGCTTATGACTCCAGCCTTGTCAGGGAAGCTGGGGTCAGACAGACCAGGTAGGATGGGAAGTCCGGGGCCAGTCGTGAGTAACTCCTACTTCTTTATTCTTTATTTCAGCATTCAATATTGTATTAAATTTTGGAATTGCTGTTACATATCCCACTCTGATGTCTCTTGGAATCGTCCTCAGTGTACCTGTGAATGCAGGTAAGCCTACGTGGCTTGCTGTATCTGCTTGTAAACACACACACAGACAGGCACACATACACACACAAACCCACACTCACAGACACGCACATGTGTACACATGCCTGTGTTCTCGCTGTGCATGTCTAACCTTCCGTATAGAAAGAAAGCACTTAGGCAAAATACTGATGTCTGTTACACCTGCAGTGTTTTCTCCAGAGTGGACTGGTTTTCACTTCCCACACCAAGATACAGAAAGTCTAAAGCCATCTTGATCTGATCTGGTGTGAGGGTCAGAGATAAGTGTCATTCATATTATTGGCAAGTATGGACAAATATGTAGCAGAAGAAAAACTGCACTTTTCGTGAGTGACTTTCCAGATGAGCAAGTGCGGTGGACATGACACAGAGGCGTGTCCACAAGCTGCAGAAGCGCAGGCGTGTCCCCCGCCTCCCAGAAGAGAGCCCTTTCTCAGCTGCGCGAGGCTGTGCTTTGTTTTTCCCTGGCGACTCTCCAACACATGCGGTGGGCAGCTCTTCCAAAGCTGGTCGTCACCTCCGTCTCTCACCTGCCCCTTTCCTGGCTCCCTCGGATATGAGTTTTGGATTTTCTTCCCAGAATCGCCCCCCACCCCACCCCTGACCTCCCTGTGGAATCTGTGTGTAAATCAGTTCTCCCCAGAACGCACCTCTCCGTGGCCCTGGCACAGCTCCCTCCAAAGCCGCCTCCCAACCCACCCACCTCCGGGCCACCAGAGGCCTAGCTCACCCCAGGGAACGGCAGGCCCTCATCCTGTTCAGTCTGCTGTTATTATGCCCAGAAGCGTTGGCTAAGCAGCTCTCAACTTCCTAAACCCCTTCCTGGGACTTGGCTTCTCTGTTTCATCCCACACGTTCTGTATATATGCCTCACCTTGGCCCAGACGCTTGGGGTCCAGCACCAGCTCTGCCCGCTGGAGGACGGCGGTCCCCACTCAGGGCTTCTCTGGGCCTTCCCTGTCCCCCGGAAGTGAGAGCATGAGAGCATCCGTGTGTCATCACCTTGGTTGATGTGAAATGATCCGAGGCAGCACTTCAAAACACACAGAGCCCCTCGCTCCAGGACAGCTCGTAAAAAGTGGTCCACACACCACCCGCTTCTGAAAATAACTCACCCACTTGCCCCAACGACGTCTCAGTGCGTCTTTACGG